CTCCTTAAGAGCAGTAACAAATTGCTTTTATTCACTTTTTACAGCTTTTATCATGCTTTTAATAATTAGAGGAGTAATAGAGTTCATAGGCCCGCTGATTTTAAGTTGCATTTTAGAATCTTAACTTTCTCCTCCTGCCGTTTCCTCAACTGGAGGGAAATCATCTGAAAGTTAAGCTGCTGTTTTAGCAGACCATATTTTAAAAAAACTGTCATGCAGAAATGCTCTCATAACTCTATGCTCAGAAAGAAGTAAAATGAACTTTTCTTCTACAAATAAAATGCAATGGAAAGTCAAAGCATCCCAAATGATCGTCTCTTAGGAGTTTCTAGAAATAAGGTATCTACCATCAAGAGTAGGGGCAATAAACCACACAGTAGCTTATTTGTGTTCCTCAAGAATCTTAAAAATTTGTAGAGTTTCAAGATGTAGAACATATAATTTTGGACTGTAATTTCCTTGGCAAATTGCTACGAACTTACTATCAAGGGTGATTGTAAGTGTTGCTGGATTATATGGCTGCTTATCTTGAATAGAGATAATCTAGTCAGTTTTTAGATTGATATTAGTTAACCTCTTTTTTCCATAGTCTGAAGCAATTATAAATCTGTCATCATGAGATATTACTAATCCTTCATAGCCTTTTCCTAGATCAATGACAGTTAGCTATGTCATAGATTCTAAATCCCATTTATAAAATTTTCCTTTTTGATATCCTAAAGTGTATAAGAATTAATCAGCCTTGTCTATGACAACATCAATGATATCGTCTGCATGACTGTAAACACCTGAATCAGATTCACTTCTAGTGGACCACCTTATCATTTCACCTGATTCTCTTTAGAAAAATATGTAGGATGAGGAATGAGTACAATTAACTGCTCTTTGCCTTCCATGTGCATATTAAAATTTTGAAACGCATGACTTGGTCCGAGTGTTCCAGATTTCCATTACCATTGTATTAAGATTTGTAGTCACAACGTACATTCCATCTGGTGTCACAATGCATTCATTTAATGAAGAAGTATCAATGGCTAGCTTTATTGATTATGAGTTATCTTCTAATCTCCAATATTGAATTTTATCATTTTCG